GTGCAGATTATTCAAGCTGATCTGCATCGCACGGATATAAATGACCATTCCCCAGAGTTCCTAGAGAGAGAAATGCTCCTAAAAATCCCCGAGAGCGTCCAGACAGGGATTGTGTTTCCTTTGAAAATAGATCAGGACTTTGACATAGGTAGCGACATGGTTCAAAACTACACAGTCAGCCCCAACTCCCATTTTCATGTCACTCACCATCGTGGAGATGGCAGAAAATACCCAGAGCTGGGGCTGACAAAGCACTGAATCAGGAGAAGCAGCCTGAGCTCAGTTTAACCCTCACCGCGCTGGATGGTGGGGCTCCGCCCAGGTCTGGGACCACTACAGTCCGCATCGAAGTCGTGGACATTAACGACAATGCCCCCAGAGTTTTTACAGTCCGTCTATGAGGTACAGATTCCATAGAACAGCCCCCTAAACTCCTTAGTTGTCGCTGTCTCTGCCAGAGATGTAGATGCAGGAACACATGGGAAAGTAACCTATGCTCTATTCCAAGGAGATGAAGTTACTCAACCATTTGTAATAGACGAAATAACAGGAGAAATTGGGCTGAAAGGGGCATTGGATTTCGAGGCAGCTCGATTTTATAACGTGGAGATTGCAGCCACAGACGGCAGGGGCCTTTCAGGAAAATGCACTGTAGCCATAGAAGTGGTGAATGTGAACGACGACGCCCCTGAACTGACCATGTCGAGATTCATCAGCTCTAGCCCAGAAAACTCCCCAGAGACTGTGGTGGCCGTTTTCAGTGTTTCTGATCCAGATTCCAGGAACAACGGTAAGATGGTTTCCTCCATTCAGAATGATCTCCCCTTTCTCTTGAAACCCACGTTCAAAAGCTTTTACACCCTGGTGACAGACCGCTAGACAGAGAGGAAAGAGCCGGGTACAACATCCCCACCGCGGTCAATGACATGGGAACCCCCAGACTGAAAACCGAGCACAACATAACCGTGCTGGTGTCCGACGTCAACGACAACGCCCCCGCCTTCACCCAGACCTCCTACACCCTGTGGGTCCGCGAGAACAACAGCCCCGCCCTGCACAGCGGCAGCGTCAGCGCCACAGACACAGACGCGGGCGCCAACGCCCAGGTCACCTACTCGCTGCTGCCGCCGCCCGACCCACACGTGCCCCTCGCCTCCCTCGTGTCCATCAACCCTGACAACGGCCACCTCTTCGCCCTCACGTCCCTGGACTACGAGGCCCTGGGGGCCTTCGAGTTCCGCGTGGGCGCCGCCGACCGCGGCTCGCCCGCGCTCAGCAGCCAGGCGCTGGTGCGCGTGCTCGTGGCGGACGCCAACGACAACGCGCCCTTCGTGCTCTACCCGCTGCAGAACGCCTCGGCGCCCTGCACCGAGCTGGTGCCCAGGGCGGCCGAGCCCGGCTACCTGGTGACCAAGGTGGTGGCGGTGGACGGCGACGCGGGCCAGAACGCCTGGCTGTCGTACCAGCTGCTCAAGGCCACGGAACCCGGGCTGTTCGGCGTGTGGGGGCACAACGGCGAGGTGCGCACGGCGCGGCTGCTGAGCGAGCGCGACGCGCCCAAGCAGCGGCTGGTGGTGCTGGTCAAGGACAACGGCGAGCCGCCGCTGTCGGCCAGCGTCACGCTGCACGTGCTGCTGGTGGACGGCTTCTCGCAGCCCTACCTGCCGCCCCCGGAAGCGGAAGCGGCGGCCGCGGCGGCAGCCGACCCGCTCACCGTCTACCTGGTGGTGGCCTTGGCGTCGGTGTCGTCGCTCTTCCTCTTCTCGGTGCTGGTGTTCGTGGCGGTGCGGCTGTGCAGGAGGGGCGGGGCGGGCTCGGCGGGTCGCTGCCCGGTGCCCGAGGGCCACTTCCCGGGCCACCTGGTGGACGTCAGCGGCACGGGGACCCTGTCGCAGAGCTACCCGTACGAGGTATGTCTGACGGGAGGTACTGGGACCGGGGAATTAAGTGTCTGAAGCCGATTCTTCCCACATTCCCTCTGTGAGGGAAATGGAGGAAAACCCCACCGTTCGGCGTAGTTTCCTATTCAATTAAGTAATGGATTATTCTGTTAGTAAACCCTACTTAATAAATATAGTAATCTATTTTAACTTAAAGATACATGTTATCGATACATAGTGACGGTCCGTTTCATGATTGTTTTACTACTGGTTCTCATTGTGAAATTTTAAAGAGTCAGACAGTGGGTATTCACTGTATTTTTCATGCGTTAACCTTTGGTTTATTACTCTCCACTATATTGACAATCTGAATGAAAAGTAAAATTTTATTTTACTGTTTAGCAGCTAAGTCATGTCTGACTCTTTGTAACCCCATGGATCATAGCCCACCAGATTCCTCTGTCCATGGGATTTCCCAGGCAAGAATATTGGAGTGGGTTGCCATTTCTTTCTCAAGGGATCTTCTTGACCCAGGAATCAAACCTGAGTCTCCTGCATTGGCAGCCAGATTCTTTACCACAGAGCCACCAGGGAACACTAAATATTTGCATAATTTTAAAACATTTTAATCATCTAGGCTTTTTATAAAATTTATATTCCAAAGTCCTCAAGATTGCATCTCTAACTAGCAGTGACAGCTGTCATCACAAGTGACATGTAGGGACATGCTTAAAATATGTTCGATAGTTTTTTAACCCACCGATGTCAGTCTCATTTTTGGGTAACTCCTATAGTGTGAAAAACTAAAACAGATACTAAAGACGGCTAAATACTAAATAGCTAGTCATATTTATGTGCATTTAAGTATATCACAATAGTACATACACATTTTCTATCAATATAGACTTCAGGAAAGTGTCAACACATTACAGTTTTTGAACTTCATGTAAGTATATGACGGTCACTTAAAAAAACAATTATATTACTTTACAATATTGTAGTGGTTAAAAAAAATAAAAAATAAAAAACAAAATTATAAATGCTTAATAAATATTTGCTAATGTTATTAACAGTCCAATAGTGAATTTTTAAAATAACCTTCAAGGAATAAGTAATCCTGATATTCTCACTACAATATAGTATCCTTGCCAATAAATAAAATTATTAAATATCACCCTTTTATTTGCCTTCTAAACAGAAGACACCCTCATTCACCCTAAACTCTATTACAGAATATAAAGTGCTTTGGAGTACATTTCATCTCCTTGTCTTTGTCTAACAATTTGAAAGTTCAAAAAGTATTTTTAGGAAAATCCAGATTATATTTTTTCAAGTTCCTGTGCCTATTTCTCAAGCTTGTATATGTGTGTTCCGTCCCAAGACCTAAGTTAGTTACTAGTAGCAGGTTACTAAGTAATGCCAGATTTTTCTCTTTCACTGATGTATATGCATCATTTACCTTTGTTAGCCACAAAATCATTTACTTTCACAATTTAACCCATATTTGGTTTTGTTGTGGTTATATTTGTAGTATATTATGAGAAGTCCCTCTTTGCAACTTCCCATCACAGTCAGGCAATTTATTCTAGAATGACAAATGAGTATTTTCTTTTTATTCTTAATGCAACTGGGCTTAACTAAATTATATTAGGCTGTATTGTGTTCAGATATCATGGCTCTTTTGTCATAGATTATTACCAATTAGTGAGTGTAGGGGAAACTTACACCAGATATTTATCCTCTCCGCCTCCATTCTTCTTTGGGGGATTGCTGCTTCTGCTGTTCTCACTCCAACCACATGACTTCAGTTGGTACAGTGGATTTTTTCAGTAAACTCATCCGCATAGTCCCAGAGGGTATAAAACATATAGGGGGGGTGGGTCCTATTTAATGCTGACAGATCAAAACCTTTCCCTAGAAAGTAGATCTTTTATTTCATTGGCTTTATTGCCTTATTCATGTTTGCAGAAAGACATTGCCTGAGTTGAGAACTTACAGTTGGTTTCTAAAAAAACAAATAGTCATTTCCTCTCACTGGGCTATCTACGCAATGAACTTATGAAAGAAAAAAAGGTCCAAAGTCTGTGTATCCCAGAGACTGAAAAGTCACATTTTCTCAGAAGTTCCAGGCACACTGCAATTTTGAGGGGAGTAAAAACTGGATTTAAAAATGTATAATTTCTTTTAACACCATAGAACAAATTAGTAACTTTGTAATGTAAGGTTCGAAAGAGCAAGAATTTTTGTGCTTAATTTACAGTGTTATCCCGAGAAGCTATAATAATTCCTGCACAGAGACATTAAATGAATAAATACATTTGTCTTGAGCTGAGTTTAGCATACCAAACTTGTACCTTTAAAAGGAAAATGAATATAGACTTAAGATAAATAACTTATTTTGCTCTCATAACTACAGTCAGCTACCTGGACAAGATGGCATTACAGGTGCGGAGGAAAGGAGTTTATAACATTTTATGACCCACAGTGCGTTCACTGCAATTTTGGTATTATGCTTTGAAATGAAAACTCCCTGAAGTTGTAAAGAAGAACGCTTGGTGGCGCTGCAGGCTAACAGAGTGAAAAACAATCTCTGCAGAGTCTTAGACTCCATAAAAGCCGATCTGTTTCTGGTAGCTCACAAAGGAAATATTTACACGGCTGGGGTAGGTTTCAGAGAGGCAGCTATCCCCTTGTCAGTCCATGACAAGAAGTAACTCAAAATTATTGAACCAAGATAGCAGATCTGGCGCAAAACAATTACTTTATGATTAAATACTGCATCTTTTGGTCTCAGGAACGATGGAGACACTGCAACCCAAAGTGACTCAGAAAAGGCAAGTGGCCGCTATTATTATTCTGTTACTATTGTGGGAGGCGGGCGGTGAGATCATTAAGTATTCAGTTCTAGAAGAGAGGGACAGCGGCTCATTTGTGGCCAACCTAGCAAAAGATCTGGGGTTGGGCTTAGGGGAGCTGGCTTATCGGGGCGCCCAGATTCTTTTCAAAGGGAATAAACAGCATTTGCAGATCGAGCAGAAGAGTGGAAATTTGATACTAAAAGAAAAAGTGGACCGAGAAGATTTGTGCGGTGACACGGATCCATGTATACTGCATTTCCAGATGTTACTGAAAAACCCAGTGCAGTTTATTCAAGGTGAATTACAGATTGAAGATGTAAATGACCATGCCCCAGAATTCTTGGAAAATGAAATCCTCCTGAAAATATCAGAAAGCAGCCATCCAGGGTCTGCATATCCTTTGAAAATAGCTCAAGATTTAGACGTTGGCAGTAATACAGTACAGAACTACACAATTAGCTCCAACTTCCACTTCCACCTTTTTACTCGAAATCACAGCGATGGCAGAAAATACCCGGAGCTGGTGCTGGACCAAGAGTTGGACCGTGAGGAGCAGCCCGAGCTCAGGTTAACCCTCACAGCGGTGGATGGTGGGTCACCGCCCAAGACCGGGACTTCCCAGGTCCTCATCATAGTCCTGGACATAAATGACAACGCCCCCGAATTTGCTCAGCAGCTCTACCAGGTGCAGGTCCCAGAAAACAGCCCTACAGGCTCCCTTGTCATCACTGTTTCTGCTAGAGATTTGGATGCTGGGATCCATGGTGAGCTCTCCTACTCATTTTTCCAATCCTCAAATCACGTCATTCAGGCCTTCGAAATAAATACAGTCACAGGGGATATTCGATTAAAAAAAAAGTTGGATTTTGAGGAAATTAGATCTTACCATATGGAAATTGAGGCCTCAGATGGCGGCGGTCTTTCAGGAAAATGCACTGTAGCCATAGAAGTGATGGATGTAAACGACAACGCCCCTGAATTGACCATATCATTACTCATTAATGATATCCCAGAAAATACCCCTGACACTGTGGTCGCTGTTTTTGGAATTTCAGATTCAGACTCTGGTAACAATGGCAAAATGATGTGTTCCATCCAAGACCATCTCCCTTTCCTTCTGAAGCTCACGATAGAAAATTTTTACACCTTGGTAACAGAAGGCGCCCTGGACAGAGAAGAAAAAGCCGAGTACAACATCACCATCACGGTCACTGACATGGGAACCCCCAGACTGAAAACCGAGCACAACATAACCGTGCTGGTGTCCGACGTCAACGACAACGCCCCCGCCTTCACCCAGACCTCCTACACCCTGTGGGTCCGCGAGAACAACAGCCCCGCCCTGCACATCGGCAGCGTCAGCGCCACAGACACAGACGCGGGCGCCAACGCCCAGGTCACCTACTCGCTGCTGCCGCCGCCCGACCCACACGTGCCCCTCGCCTCCCTCGTGTCCATCAACCCCGACAATGGCCACCTCTTCGTCCTCACGTCCCTGGACTACGAGGCCCTGGGGGCCTTCGAGTTCCGCGTGGGCGCCGCCGACCGCGGCTCGCCCGCGCTCAGCAGCCAGGCGCTGGTGCGCGTGCTCGTGGCGGACGCCAACGACAACGCGCCCTTCGTGCTCTACCCGCTGCAGAACGCCTCGGCGCCCTGCACCGAGCTGGTGCCCAGGGCGGCCGAGCCCGGCTACCTGGTGACCAAGGTGGTGGCGGTGGACGGCGACGCGGGCCAGAACGCCTGGCTGTCGTACCAGCTGCTCAAGGCCACGGAGCCCGGGCTGTTCGGCGTGTGGGCTCAGAACGGCGAGGTGCGCACGGCGCGGCTGCTGAGCGAGCGCGACGCGCCCAAGCAGCGGCTGGTGGTGCTGGTCAAGGACAACGGCGAGCCGCCGCTGTCGGCCAGCGTCACGCTGCACGTGCTGCTGGTGGACGGCTTCTCGCAGCCCTACCTGCCGCCCCCGGAAGCGGAAGCGGCGGCCGCGGCGCCGGCCGACCCGCTCACCGTCTACCTGGTGGTGGCCTTGGCGTCGGTGTCGTCGCTCTTCCTCTTCTCGGTGCTGGTGTTCGTGGCGGTGCGGCTGTGCAGGAGGGGCGGGGCGGGCTCGGCGGGTCGCTGCCCGGTGCCCGAGGGCCACTTCCCGGGCCACCTGGTGGACGTCAGCGGCACGGGGACCCTGTCGCAGAGCTACCAGTATGAGGTGGGTCTGACGGGAGGTACTGCGTCCGGCGAATTCAGGTTTCTCAAACCTATTGTCCCCAGCCTCATGAGTGAAGTAGCTGGTATGGACACCGCGGAAAACGCTAACTTTAGAAATCATTTGGGATTCAATTAGGAATCTCACTTGACAATATGATCAATGATCATATTCACTATTTCCAACCCTTTCATTAACATGTAGAGCTTACATATTCACACATTCGTTAAGTATTGTCCTATGTATAGTTTGAAGTGTTTTACATTCCGAATCTCGAGATGGTTTTTATTGTTGCTCTTTTGTTGGTTTTTATAAGCTCTTAACATTTTGCATGGGAGATCAAACATTTAGCAGAGAAATGGTGTTTCTCAAGTTTTGGAGGGTCAGATTTTTCGAAGTCACAAGTGTTTTCAGGTTCCTGATAGTTGAGCTTGTTCGCTCATATCTTGCTATAATTAAGAGAATTGTTTTTACGATTATTATCGCATGTCTGAGTATTATAAATGATGGCTTTTAGTTTTAAAAATTTTCACTTATGCGAAAAATTTTGTGACTTTGTAAATTGCTAGAGTTCTGTAGTGTTGTTTCAAAAACACCATTGTCTTTCCTCAAATGAACTAATATTTTATCTGAATGCTTTGAATATTTTCTTTCAAAATTGGTATCATTTAATTAGACCATCTATTATAATTTTAAAGTATTTAATCCCAGTTAAGTAGAAAAAAGTTGGTAGAGTTATGATTTGTTTTTCATAATAAATGAGTTTTAGTATGAAAATGATTCTTTTAATAATTTTAACATTTAATAAGAAAAAGAAAAGAAAATTAACATGATTCTCCCACTCAGAAATAATTTTCAACATCATCCTAAAACATTTCCATGATGGTTATAATAGATGAAAACTATATTAAATGGATCTGTAATAAATTCCTATCTTTAATAAAAACAAAATAATATGAAACTACAGAGCTTGCTTATGCTTAGATAAATAATCCCTACAAGGTTAACAAACAAACGTGTGATGCATATTAAAATATTAGCATCACTTAACTGCTCTCTTATGAGTGAGCAAATAGGGACTTCCCTGGTGACCCACTGGCTAAGTCTCCAGGCTCCCAAAGCAAGCACCTGGGTTCAGTCCCTGGCCAGGGAACTAGATCCCTAATCCTGGCATCCCATCATTCCACATGCTGCAACTAAGACACAGGTAAAGTCTGCATGTTGCTACTAAGACTCAACACAGCTAAATAAGTAAGTCAACTTAAGAACATAGCAAATATATAGAGTTATCAATGTTTATAACATTTACAATGTGTTTTTTTCTCCTTTGAGATTCTGATTTTCTTTTGGATATATACCCTGAAGTGGTATTGCTGGATCATATAGTTCTGTTTACTTTTAATTTTTAAAATTAGTGTTTTTTCCAAGTGCTGTGGACTCAGTTGTGTCTTCCCAAGATCATACATTGAAGCCCTAACCCTCAATGTAATGGAAATTGGAGCTGGGCCTTTGGGGGATAATTAGGTTTGGATACTGTCAGGAGGGCAGGGGTCCTCTTCATGAGATTAATGCCCTCCTAAGAGACACCAGAGAACTTGCTCTTTTTCTCATGTGAGGGCACATTGAGGTGGCCATCTGCAAGCCACGATGAAAGATCTCATCAGAATCTAACCTGCCAACACCTAGAGCTCAGACTTCCAGCCTCCAGAACTGTAAGAAATAAGTTTCTGTTGCTTAATCCACACAGTCTGTGGTATTTTTTATGGCAGGTTGAAAGCTGCCCAAACCCTGGAAGGGACCTAAGTCAATGAATTTGTTGTTGTTTTAGTTGCTAAGTCATGTCACACTTTTTTGTGATCCCACTGGACTATAGTCCACCAGGTTCCTTTGTCCATGGCATTTCCAAGGCAAGAATACTGGAGTGAGTTGCCATTTCCTTCTCCATACAATGTGTTTTAAAAAGATGATGTTTATCATTGTTTAGGCATTTTATGTTTTAATTTGTCATACAACGCTTCAGTTTTTCCAAGTGTACTCATGTCTGACTGCCCAGAGATAACGACTTCTGAGACTGGTTTTTTTCCCATATTTGCTTCCCTGTTTCTAAATAATATGCTGAAAAAATGCTTTTTCTAAATTTAAGTTTTAGATATTATCCATTTACTTCTAAGGAGCACACACACAAACTTGAACACTTCTACCCCATCCTCTCCGGTAACAATGTCATAATCTGTTTAAGTATTGTTTAAATAGTTACATAAATATCACTTAGACCTGAACCTCATGTTGCTGATATTTTTCTTTTCTTTACTCTTAAGTTTATAATTGTCTCACTTTTCACTTACTTTTCTAAGTATATACTTTTAAGTTATCCCCATACTTTGTAAAGTTTAAAGCACCTCGTTATATTATTAAGTGCTTAAAAAACACTTCTCAGTTCCATTTTTTCCCATGGAGCCATCCTGGATCCACCTAGGCTTGTACTCAGTTGTACACTATTTGTTCTCTAGTCCTACTCCATGGCTGGCAGTTTGGGACTTGTGCTATACTTTTCATCCTAGGAAATTCTTTTATCTCTCTCCTGAGTTTGATTTCACTTTCTGCATTTTTATGACTTCCTCTTTATTGGTTTATTTCCCTACATTCCTGAAAAACATTTGGTGATAAACTTATTGAGAACTTGAACATCTGAAAATTTTGGATGCAGTAAAATCAAATGATTTACTGATTTCAGTGAATGTGGAATTACAGGTTAGGAATTATTTGCTGCTAGCATTTTGAAGGCATTCCTTTGTTTTCTAAACTCTTGTGTTGAGGAATTCAACATTTTCATTACCCGTTTTTTTCTAAGATCTATTTCTTCTAGATCCCTGGTTCTCAGCTGAGGCAGTCTTGCCACCCAGCAACACTCGGTAATACATGGAAACATTTCTCATTGGCACCACTGGAGGAGATGGTGGCACTGGCATCTAGTTGGTAGAGGCCAGGGATGTTGCTAAACATTCTACAATGCATGGGACAGGCCCCTGCACATAAGGAATTATATGGCCCCCAAGTGCCAATAGTACTGAGGCTAAGAAAGCTTGCTAAAGATGAAATTAGGTCATTATATATTACCTCCATTTTTATAGAATTTGTTAACTATGTAGTATCATAGTGTAAGAATTTTGTCATTTATTGTGATAATTCTTCAGTGAGATTTGTCAATCTTGTGACATATATTCTTTAGACTAGGACTGGATTTGGGATGTGTGTGTGTGTGATTTTAAAAATTATTTCCTCTACTCAGTGTCCTTGTTAACTGGTTCTCTAACTACTTCTAGTTATATAGTGACCTCCTTGGTTGATATTCAATTTTTCTTAATGTTTCTCTATTTACTGCCTTTTGTCTTCATTTCCCTGGATTCTAATAATTTTCTCAACCTTTTTATTCAGTTTTTTAAATTTATTTATTTTAATTGGAGGCTAATTACTTTACAATATTGTGGTAGTTTTTTCCATACATTGACATGAATCAGCCAAGGGTGTACATGTGTCCCCCATCCAGAACCCCCCTCCCACCTTCCTCCCCTTCCCATCCCTCAGGGTTGTCCCGGTGCACTGGCTTTGAGTACCTTGTTTCATGCATCCAATGTGGACTGGTGATCTGCTTCACATATGGTAATATACATGTTTCAAAGCTATTCTCTCAAATCATCCCACCCTTGCCTTCTCCCACAGAGTCCAAAAGTCTGTTCTTTATATCTGTGTCT